CAGGCCCGAAAGGTCAAGCTCCGGAGGTCACGGGTGGGTAGGAGGGGCCCAGGCGGGCTTCCAGTCCAGCTCTCAGTTTCACAGGAATTGTGTACGAGTTCCTCTAGCTCAACTTTTTGTTTTGTTTTTAACTCTGCCTTGACTTGTTTCCGTCGGCCTTTCGACCTGGCGGTCGGACGACGGGATGGAGGTTTGGGGGGGGGCGGAGGCGATCGGGGGGTCACCGGAGCCGTCAGGAACGACTTTAGCCATATGGGGACATTTGGTTATTTGTAGAAATACGGGTTTGGGTGTCGATCCGTGACCCCGTGGGTGAGTGGTTGCAGCCATAAGTCGACATGGGTCGGTGCTGCCCTATGTCTGGGAGTGTGTCGGGCCCTGAAAAAATCTCTTGGAGCTCAGGTCCGGGGCGGGTGGCGTTCGGGCCGGTGGGGGAGGGTCCCGGGAATAAAAGGGGATCGCTGTTGCCATCAGGAACCCTTCGGTCGAGGAGCTGTAGGCCTGCCACGAGGGACCCTACGGTGGTGCTGCTGGATGTCTGCGAGTCATACGGAAGCACGAGGTCATGCTGCCAAATGGCCTCGACCTGTCGAGCCGCGGTGCGGTCTGCCTTGGGTGTGAGGGCCTTTTGACATACGGAATCATAGGGTGATGATCCCAAATGGCTACCTTACCAGAGGCACGAGCCATAAGGAGACGTCCCGGGGTTCCACCGAATGTCTGAGCCCCTTTTTCGGGGCTAGGGTTTATCGGGCGCCCGCCCGAACCTCCACGGGTGCTCTGGGCTCGGTTAGTCTTGCGGTCGCATCGCCTGAAGCAGAGCATGATCTTTCTCTCGACCCCAACAGGAGGGAAGAGGTGCCAAAGGCGCCCTTCGCTTCTCGCAGGCACTCGTTGCATCCTGTAGTTTAGCGGTTCGGGAAAATGGTGGACTCAGTGGATCCTGTACTTTAGCGGCTCAAGACAAGGGAGGGGGAGAAGGAGAAGCAGAGCGAGCGACGGAGACAGACGTTCTCACATACTCCCTCCCTTTCGCAGCCCCAATCCATTGTAAGCGTGGCACCTTCAACCACAAGACTCCTCGATCCATGCGGGTGACCTTTTGCTCATAGCGCTTATGACGTCGTAGCAAGTAATTTAGACACATAGTAGCTCCTCGTGGTGCTGCCTTATTTCGGCCATTGAGCAGCAGCAGGAGGTGCCACTTTCTGTCAGGAATGGAAAAAGAAGAGGACAGGAGCAGTTACGCTCTTCGCTGTACCACAATCATTGAAATGGAGCGCAAAATCAACCCCTAAACTATCGGAGCCACGTGATTGGCAACATTTTGAGCTAAATCTCCCCCCCCCCCGAAAAAAAAAAAACAAAAGCCTTGGTAGCCAAGACCGTTATCGAACCCGGGTCTCCCAGCTGGGGGCCGGTGTTCCTGTACACCTGGCTATCAAGGCAGGTTTGTCTACCACGTTCATAGGACTTGTAACCTCATCTAAAGATAAAAAAAACTAAAACAAAATAAAAAAACAAGAGGCTTCCTGCAGCCAGCGGGAAGCGAACCCTGGTCTCTGGGGCGGAGACCGGGCGGCTAAACCGCTAAACTACAGGAGCCATGTGGGTTTCCTTGGCTCATAGCGCTTATGACCTCATAGCAAGTGATGTAGACATAGGGGATCATCAGCGTCCGGACGTGCGGAAGCAGGAGGTGGTGCTGCCACATGGCCTTGACCTACGGAATCACGGGGTGGTGCTCCCAAATGGCTGCTGCCTTACCAGATGCACGAGACATAAGGAGGCCCCATTGAAAAGGATGTCCGGATGTCGAGGCTTCCCTATGTCCGAAGCGCCTCCTTATGTCTGCGGTCGGCCAAAAAGATAGAAAAGGCCTGAGCAGCTTGTGGGAATCGTACCCCGGTCGCTGGGGGGGCGCCGCAGCAGATCAACCACAAGACTACTCGAGCCATACGGGTTTCCTCGGCTCATAGCGCTTATGACCTCATAGCAAGTACTGTAGACGTCTGGGATCATCGTCCGGGTCAGGACATGCGGAAGCAGGAGGTGGTGCTGCCAAATTCCTGCCTTACCAGAGGCACGAGACATAAGGAGACGCCCAGGGGCTCCGCCGAATGTCTGGGCCTCTGCCCCGTCCCCGGAAGGGGTTCAGCCATCCGCTGGAACGGTCCAGCCGTTTGGTGGAACGGGA